TCTGAATGACACACCCCAGGCTTGGAGCGTCTATTTAAGCTGGGAGGGAGGAGGAAGAGCGCCTTGACAAAATAATGTGCATATCAAGAGGAATTTTAGCATATTTATGGGAAATACAGATATGCGATTAGTACTACTTGTGAAATGCGTAGGTTTTGCGCAGGGTTTAAAGTCAGAGTTTCGTATTCATTAAACCAGGTTTTAATTCCCCGAAATCGGGTTTAATTGTATTAAAGAAAAAACGCGATGCCTACCGCTGGAAAAATCGGGTTTTTTAAATCCTTTATATTAAGTTCGCTTGCTTGCTTAGGACCGTGCAAATTTTCGGTCGTTTTTTAACCCACTTCCCGTGATCCAATCGAGCTGACATTTTGCACACAGACTCGTTGTGCGTGACAATGCATTTTAGTGAAAATTTTTCCAAAATTTTACACTGTTTAGGGAATAATAAATAAATATTTAATTCCATATTTTTAATGCTGCCAGACAATCATCTGACCCATAGGTGGCAGCCATCTCAAGCCAGAGGACGAGAGGACTCTAGCCGCCACGATGCCACGCATATAAAGGATTTATAGTGAAAAACTTTGTTTTTACGGGTTTACTTGTTCCACCCATGGTAGTGGATGATGTGGGGGGGGGGCGGTCATTCTTGTGCACCGCCCTCCCCATCACATCCACAAAGCGCGCACGACGCAACCTCGCTCTTGAGCGTCACCTGCAGGCGAAACAATTAATTTAAAACAAACAAAATATCATATTCAGTACAGGTATCACGCCACGGTTTTCTTGTTGAAAGGCTGGTGGGTTTACTCTCCAACACGCCGGTGTGTTGGAGAGTAACGAATTGGCACGTTTTGTGGGTGGTGGTGGGTTCATGACACTTTCTAGATTTGAAGTTTCCGTGACTGCAGGGATCCAAACTCTTTGGTTCTTTCGGTAAAGTCACCTGGGCAGAAAATAACATAAATTAAATCACGACGTTTCGGGCACAACACAAGCGTCCTTCATCAGGTGGGACAACCACAGCAAGAAATAATTGATCTTCTTGGTTCTTTCGTTAAAGTCACGTAAAAGGGAAATAATAAAATAATAAAAATCAAACATAACCAAATAAAATATATTTTTTATTTTAATAAAATAAAATATATCTTTTATTTTATTATGTTTGATTTTTAAAACATAATAAAATATTTTATTATAATAAAATATATATTTTATTTTATTATGTTTCATTAATTAAATAAAATATATATTTTATATCTTTCATTTTATATATTATATAAAATATATATTTTATTTTATCATGTTTTATTTTTATAATTTTATTATTTCCCTTCTACGTGACTTTACCGAAAGAACCAAGAAGATGAATCCCTGCAGTCACGAAAGCTTTAAATCGAAAATAAACCATTGCTGAAGCAATTGTTTCTTGCTGTGGTTGTCCCACCTGATGACGGACGCTTGTGTTGCGCCCGAAACGTCGTGATTTAATTTATTTTATTTTATACCTACGGGACTTTACCGAAAGAACCAAAGAGTATGGGTTAATGACACGTTTATATTTACGCGATCTAACCCGTGTCGCCTTTATAGCTGGACTTTTGCCCATAACAGTCTGCTAAATGCCATACGGGGGGGCGTCTTTGTCATTGGTAACATCATCCAGCAGCGAATTAAGCATGGCTGCCGCACTGATGGTGGGTTGGTGACATCATCCAGCAGTGAATTGAGCATGGCTGCTGTACTGATGGTGGGTTGGTGCCATCATCCAGCAGTGAATTGAGCATGGCTTCTGCACTGATGGTGGGGTGGTGACATCATCCAGCAGTGAATTGAGCATGGCTGCTGTACTGATGGTGGAGTGGTGCCATCATCCAGCAGTGAATTGAGCATGGCTTCTGCACTGATGGTGGGGTGGTGCCATCATCCAGCAGTGAATTGAGCATGGCTGCTGCACTGATGGTGGGGTGGTGACATCATCCAGCAATGAATTGAGCATGGCTTCTGCACTGATGGTGGGTTGGTGACATCATCCAGCAGTGAATTAAGCATGGCTGCCGCACTGATGGTGGGTTGGTGACATCATCCAGCAGTGAATTGAGCATGGCTGCTGTACTGATGGTGGGGTGGTGACATCATAAAGCAGTGAATTGAGCATGGCTGCTGTACTGATGGTGGAGTTGTGACATCATCCAGCAGTGAATTGAGCATGGCTGCTGCACTGATGGTGGGGTGGTGACATCATAAAGCAGTGAATTGAGCATGGCTGCTGTACTGATGGTGGAGTGGTGACATCATCCAGCAGTGAATTGAGCATGGCTGCTGCACTGATGGTGGGGTGGTGCCATCATCCAGCAATGAATTGAGCATGGCTGCTGTGCTGATGGTGGGTTGGTGACATCATCCAGCAGTGAATTAAGCATGGCTGCTGTACTGATGGTGGAGTGGTGCCATCATCCAGCAGTGAATTGAGCATGGCTTCTGCACTGATGGTGGAGTGGTGCCATCATCCAGCAGTGAATTGAGCATGGCTGCTGCACTGATGGTGGGGTGGTGACATCATCCAGCAGTGAATTGAGCATGGCTGCTGTACTGATGGTGGGTTGGTGACATCATCCAGCAGTGAATTAAGCATGGCTGCTGCACTGATGGTGGGGTGGTGACATCATCCAGCAGTGAATTGAGCATGGCTTCTGCACTGATGGTGGGTTGGTGACATCATCCAGCAGTGAATTAAGCATGGCTGCCGCACTGATGGTGGGTTGGTGACATCATCCAGCAGTGAATTGAGCATGGCTGCTGTACTGATGGTGGAGTGGTGCCATCATCCAGCAGTGAATTGAGCATGGCTGCTGCACTGATGGTGGGGTGGTGACATCATCCAGCAGTGAATTGAGCATGGCTTCTGTACTGATGGTGGAGTGGTGCCATCATCCAGCAGTGAATTGAGCATGGCTGCTGCACTGATGGTGGGGTGGTGACATCATCCAGCAGTGAATTGAGCATGGCTGCTGTACTGATGGTGGAGTGGTGCCATCATCCAGCAGTGAATTGAGCATGGCTGCTGCACTGATAGTGGGTTGATGCCATCACCCAGCAGTGGAGTGAGCATGGCTGTTGCACTGATGGTGGGGTGGTGACATCATCCAGCAGTGAATTGAGCATGGCTGCTGCACTGATGGTGGGGTGGTGACATCATCCAGCAGTGAATTGAGCATGGCTGCTGCACTGATGGTGGGGTGGTGACATCATCCAGCAGTGAATTAAGCATGGCTGTTGCACTGATGGTGGGGTGGTGACATCATCCAGCAATGAATTGAGCATGGCTGCTGCACTGATGGTGGGGTGGTGACATCATCCAGCAGTGAATTGAGCATGGCTGCTGTACTGATGGTGGGTTGGTGACATCATCCAGCAGTGAATTAAGCATGGCTGCTGCACTGATGGTGGGGTGGTGACATCATCCAGCAGTGAATTGAGCATGGCTGCTGTATTGATGGTGGGGTGGTGACATCATCCAGCAGTGAATTGAGCATGGCTGCTGCACTGATGGTGGGGTGGTGACATCATCCAGCAGTGAATTGAGCATGGCTGCTGTATTGATGGTGGGGTGGTGACATCATCCAGCAGTGAATTAAGCATGGCTGCTGTACTGATGGTGGAGTGGTGCCATCATCCAGCAGTGAATTGAGCATGGCTGCTGTACTGATGGTGGAGTGGTGCCATCATCCAGCAGTGAATTAAGCATGGCTGCTGTACTGATGGTGGGGTGGTGCCATCATCCAGCAGTGAATTAAGCATGGCTGCTGTACTGATGGTGGGGTGGTGCCATCATTCAGCAGTGAATTAAGCATGGCTGCTGCACTGATGGTGGGTTGGTGACATCATCCAGCAGTGAATTGAGCATGGCTGCTGTACTGATGGTGGAGTGGTGCCATCATCCAGCAGTGAATTGAGCATGGCTGCTGCACTGATGGTGGGGTGGTGACATCATCCAGCAGTGAATTGAGCATGGCTGCTGTACTGATGGTGGAGTGGTGCCATCATCCAGCAGTGAATTGAGCATGGCTGCTGCACTGATGGTGGGGTGGTGACATCATCCAGCAGTGAATTGAGCATGGCTGCTGTACTGATGGTGGGGTGGTGACATCATCCAGCAGTGAATTAAGCATGGCTGCTGCGCTGATGGTGGGTTGGTGACATCATCCAGCAGTGAATTAAGCATGGCTGCTGCGCTGATGGTGGGTTGGTGCCATCATCCAGCAGTGAATTAAGCATGGCTGCTGCACTGATGGTGGGTTGGTGCCATCATCCAGCAGTGAATTAAGCATGGCTGCCGCACTGATGGTGGGTTGGTGACATCATCCAGCAGTGAATTAAGCATGGCTGCTGCACTGATGGTGGGGTGGTGACATCATCCAGCAGTGAATTAAGCATGGCTGCCGCACTGATGGTGGGTTGGTGCCATCATCCAGCAGTGAATTAAGCATGGCTGCTGCACTGATGGTGGGTTGGTGACATCATCCAGCAGTGAATTAAGCATGGCTGCTGTACTGATGGTGGGGTGGTGACATCATCCAGCAGTGAATTGAGCATGGCTTCTGCACTGATGGTGGGGTGGTGACATCATCCAGCAGTGAATTAAGCATGGCTGCTGCACTGATGGTGGGTTGGTGACATCATCCAGCAGTGAATTAAGCATGGCTGCTGCACTGATGGTGGGGTGGTGCCATCATCCAGCAGTGAATTGAGCATGGCTGCTGCACTGATGGTGGTTTGATGCCCTCACCCAGCAGTGGAGTGAGCATAGCTGCTGCACTGATGGTGGTTTAGTGCCATCACCCAGCAGTGGAGTGAGCATGGCTGCTGCACTGGTGGTGGCAGGCATCCTGCACGCCACCTCGTGTTGTATTTGTGCCGTCTGACGCATGCGCAACACCGGGGAGCCCCGGGGGGGGGGCGGGGGGGTGAGAGTCACTGGTCGTGGATTCGATCCTCAGCCATTCATTGCCAAGTCAACTCCGGCGGTGCAACGCGGAGGGAAAGAAGCGAGAGAGAGAGTAGCAAGTAGCAGCAGGAGATAGAGAGAGGAGAGGACAAGGGGTAGTGATAGAGACAGCGAGAGAGAGAGACGGAGAGAGGCAGAGAAGAAAGAGAAGGCGGAGGAGGAGAATAATGGCAGGCGGCGTGGTTCTGTCGGCAAAGAATGCGGCCACCTCGATTCTGAGGTTGACGTCGCAGGCGGCGAAAGTAAGGATACCACCACTACTCCACCACTACCACCACTCCACCACTACTCCACCACTACCACCCCTACCACCACTACTACCACCACCACCACTACTACCACCACCACCACACTACCACCACCAACACCACCACCACCCCACACCACCATCACCCCATTACCACCCCACCGAGACCACCACCACCACCACACCCACCACCACCACCACCACCACCACCACCACCACCACCACCACCACCCACCACCACCACCCCGCCACCACCACCCCGCCACCACCACCACGCCACCACCACCACCACCACGCCACCACCACCACCACCACACCGCCACCACCACACCGCCACCACCACCCCGCCACCACCACCCCGCCACCACCACCCCACCACACCACCACCACCACACCACCACCACCACCCCACCACCACCACCCCACAACCAACACCCCATTACCACCACCACCCCACCACAACCACCACACCACCACCACCACACCCCCCACCACCACTACCACCACCCCACCACCACCAAGCTCGTCCGCTCCTTCAGCTTGCTAGTGAGCGGCGGTCGTGATGTTGTGCCGCTGGTTGTGGATGGTTGTTGATGGTTGTGGTTCACAATCTTCTTCGGCTTGTGCGTGTGTCGGCGTGGTGATGCGGTGTGCGGATGTGTGACAATGGGGGGGGTGGGGGGGCGTGTTGGGTGTTATGGTGGGGTCTGTGTGTGTGTGCGTGTGTCGGCGTGGTGATGCGGTGTGCGGATGTGTGACAATGGGGGGGGTGGGGGGGCGTGTTGGGTGTTATGGTGGGGTCTGTGTGTGTGTGTGTGTGTCTTCGCCTGAACAGCACTTGCCCCCAATGGTATGTTAAGGCTACACGGGGGATCTTTGTCTTTGTCTTTGTCTGTGTGGTGATGCTGCGTGTGAAGGTTGTGGTGTGCGTGCGCGTGTTAGTGGGGAGCGGTGGTGCAGCGGTTAACACGCCGTGCTCTGAACCAGCCGGCAGATTTTGGCTCGCGGAGCAAAGCGCACGTGGCGACACATTTTTCGAACCGGTCTTTGGGGCCCTCCCCTAGGTGGACTCGGTCTGAAATGAGCCAAGGGGGGGTACACGCTTCGGTGTGTACACGTCGGCGCCGGGGGGAGACAAAGGCGGCCGGGCGTGGTGTTGTGGCAACCTCGCCGTGCCTCGTTGACGCTGCGACGCGCTCTTAACAAACAGCACTCGCCCACCCCATTCATCCCATCCTCCCCCATCCACCACATTCACCCCATCCATCCCATCCATCCCATACACCCCATCCACCCATCCATCCCATCCACCCCATCCCATCCACCCCATCCCATACACCCCATCCCATACACCCCATCCATCCCCATCCTTCCCATCCTTCCCATCCACCCCCATCCATCTCATCCATCCCATACACCCCATCCACTCCACCCATCCCATCCACCCCATCCATCCCATACACCCCATCCATCCCATCCTCCCCATCCATCCCATCCTCCCCATACACCCCATCCATCCCATACACCCCATCCATCCCATCCTCCCCATCCATCCCATCCTCCCCATACATCCCATCCATCCCATACACCCCATCCATCCCATCCTCCCCATCCACCCCATCCATCCCATCCATCCCATACACCCCATCCATCCCATAAAACCCATCCTTCCCATCCTTCCCATCCACCTCATCCACCCCATCCATCCCATCCACCCCCATCCACCCCATCCATCCCATCCACCCCCATCCACCCCATCCACCCCATAAAACCCATCCTTCCCATCCACCTCATCCACCCCATCCATCCCATCCACCCCATACACCCCATCCATCCCATACACCCCATCCATCCCATCCTCCCCATAAAACCCATCCTTCCCATCCTTCCCATCCACCTCATCCATCCCATCCACCTCATCCATCCCATCCACCCCCATCCACCCCATCCATCCCATCCACCCCCATCCACCCCCATCCACCCCCATCCCATCCATCCCATCCACCCCATTCACTCCACCCCATCCATCCCATCTCATACACCCCATCCCATCCACCACATCCACCCAATCCATCCCATACACCCCATCCACCCCCATCCCATCCATCCCATCCATTCACTCCACCCCATCCACCCCATCCATCCCATTTACCCCATCCACCCCCATCCATCCCATCCACCCCATCCATCCCATACACCCCATCCATCTCATCCTCCCCATGCAACCCATCCATCCTATCCATCCCATCCACCCCATCCATCCCATATACCCCATCCATCACAAGCAGCCTCCGAAAAGGCTTGCACCGGGGGTGGAAATCTTTGCCCATTTACGGGGCCCTTGGTTTATTGCGCCAGTTGATGTTTGCGGATGTGGTGGTGGGTTGGTGGCAGGGTGGCGTGATGGTGTTAAGTGTGTTGTGTTGTGGTGGTGGTGGTGTGTGTCAATGTCATGGGAGCGGTAGTGTGGTTGTGGGTTGGCGTAATTGCGCCACGAAGCCGGCGACCCGAGTTAGATTGCCGCTCACGTTTCAATATTTGAACCAGTCCGGGGCCTCCCCTAGGTCGACTCGGCCTCAAATGAGTACCTGGTGCGGTGTGTGTAAAACATCGCCACCGGGGGAGACAAAGGCGGCCGGGCGTGATGCTGGCCACCCACCTCTCTCGTGTGCCTTGCGTGCCTTAATAGGTGCTCGCTAACAGCACTTGCCCCTGTAACTCTGTGTAGGCTACACGGGGGTCCTTTGCCTTTAGTGGCGTGTGTGTGTGTGTAACGTGAAGCCTCGGCTGTTGTGAGTACACGTGGCCGGGAGTTCCACTTGCTGGGACTCGCCAATGTTGTGTACACGTCACTGGTACGTGGTTGTCGCAGTATAGCAGTGGCTCTTAAACTTGACCGCAGCCATTGGTTCTGAATTGTTTAAAATGTATGTTAATATATACATAGGGTTTGATGAAACACAATAGTTGTAACTTTGATGCCCGTGCTTGATTTGTGTTTTTAAGATGATTTACCTTTAAAAAAACAAGATCTGGTCACGTCTCGCACCCCCAGAAAGGGCATCTCGCACCCCCAGAAAGGGCATCTCACACCCCTTGGGGGTGGCGTGCACCTCCCAGGTAATGCACCACTGCTGTGTAGCTTCTGTTGTTTTGTAGTGCCGCGTGTCGGGTCGGCGTGATGTCCGACGTTTTGCCGCAACCCCGTTTTTTGCTGGGAGCTTCTTCCAAAACTGAATGTAAGAACGGCTCACAAACTTAAATTGTAGCAGTCTGTGGTCGACTGCTGTTCGTGACCGATGCAGGCATCGTCAGGCAGGCAGGGTGCTGCTGCTGTTGTGCATCTTCTGGGAGGAGTTTAAACTACGAAACTATTTTATTTTACTAGCGAAGGCCCACTGAGCTATACTGCTCTTTTTCAGAAGCGACTTGACCACAAATGATAGCTCAACGAAGTGGCTCATCATCATGTGGAAATGTATCGCAGCCAAATACTCTGAATGTGATGTTGATTTCTAAACGTGGAGGGAAAATCCGGAGGACCCGGAGAAATTCCACGCGACCACGGAGAGAGAGAGACAAGCAATTTTCAAATCTACAGCAGCAGGCGTCAGGGTCGGGATCGAACCCACAACCTCCTGTGTACTAGGCGAGGTAATTAACATCTCCTAGCCACCGTGGTGATGATGATGATGAGAGAGACACAAACTCCAAATATACAGCGGGCGGCACGGTCGGGATCGAACCCACGACCTCCTGTATACTGGGTGAGGTAATTAACATCTCCTAGCCACCGTGATGATGATGATGATGAGAGACACGCAAACTCCAAATATACAGCAGGCGGCAGGGTCGGGATCGAACCCACGACCTCCTGCACACCAGGCGAGGTAGTTAACATCTCATCATCGTAGAGTATGCGGAGAAAGCCCATCACTAACCTGTTGCATTCGAGAGTGATGGCAATCTAAAAAGTCCCTTTACGAGACACATTCACGAACATTTACCCCTTAGGGGGAGTGGAGGCAGTCGTCCCCTCCCCTCCTTCCCGACAAGCCATGGGGAAAGAGCCGTCCGTCTGGAACATTCGTTCTGCTCTCTTCGCAATTCAAACATTTCACCTGGGAGGAACATCGCTACCGTTTGTAACGCCGTCCAGCCCAGGGTGCCTGGGTTCTCGTGCCTTGTACGGGAGGTTGACCACTGTGCACACACAACCGGTTGTCGTGGTGGGGGGGGGGGGGGCAACTTGTTGTTGTTGTGCACTGGAAGGGGCAACGCAGCAATTGTGTCTATTGTTGTGCTCTACTTATGCAGGGTGCTTAAACAAATGTTAACACTCGTATGGGACTATCGTTGTTAATGGGAACAGAACGGATAAGAATTCACTGTAACGTGATAAGAAATGTAATTTACACCATTGGAACCTCATTTGCCAGTAAAAAATATGATAATTGTTTTTTTTACCCTTCTATCTGGCAACATCTGGTCCAACCCATGTGAGACTAGGCTCTAAGGAAAGCTGTCTCGGGTGTGGACCAATCCACTTCAAGGACAGTGCACACATTATCAGAGTTATGTTTTTTGTTTGTATTATGACTGCAGGTATTGTGGTCTATGCAAACATGACTCCTTGTAAAAAAGGTGTCAGTTTTGTTGCCAGATAAAAGGGTAAAAAACAATTATCATATTTTTTATAGGCAAATGAGGTTCCAATGGTGTAAATGCTTACCCCGAGCTCTCATACTCTGATGGTGCATTGTCTTTGAGTTGTGCGCCTTTTGGCGTCATCTGGTCCAACCCATGTGAGACTAGGCTCTAAGGAAAGCTGTCTCGGGTGTGGACCAATCAACTTCAAGGACAGTGCATACATTATCAGAGTTATGTTTTTTGTTTGCATGACTGCAGGTATTGTGGTCTATGCAAACATGACTCGTTGTAAAAAAGGTGTCAGTTCTGTTGCCAGATAGAAGGATAAAAAAACAATTAACAAAT